TGATACATATATATCAATGACAGCTTTATTTCAATCAAAGCAAACGGATTTAACTGATAATTATATAATCGATTGCGTACTCTATTCCAATGCCGTTTAATGCAGTTTGTTTTCGGTAGTTTTGTTGGTTTGCCATTTTGATGATTTATTTATTTTGTACTACTATAATCAAAATGACAAGTATACGTTGACAGTAAGAAGATATAGATGTAAGACTGTCTGATGAACAGAGTTATAAATCAATTATATAAAATTGTACAGGAATTGCGAACTAAACTATTATAAAGTTAGTTTAGTTGTTTTATAATAACAATTGCTATCGTTGGCTAGAAAAAGCAATAAGATCCTGTTATTTAGTTATTGCTGTTGTATATTTGCCAAATTAGCCGACAAGAACTTAATGATGTATTTTATTGTATAGTATAATTGGCCAAAATCTGTTGCACATATGTGGGAGATTTCTGTATAATTTTGTCTGTTGAAGCGTTTTATGGCACACTTACACAATTAAGTTTATATGACGCCGAAACTGAAGAGATTATTGTGGCTTACCTCGGTTGTTACAAGCTTAGGCAACACCAGGGTTCAAAACGACTTCATTTGCTAGAGGTAAGAGATGCATAGACTCCAATAATTCAAATCCATATAGTCTCATCTCACGATCACTCAGAGATAAACGATGACTGCAATTCTAATGCCTCAGCCCTTAAAGGAAATCCCTAAGCCTAAAGAGGAACCTATTGAAGTGATTTTATTTGGCAATGCCTTTGATAAAAAGCAAATGATCATCGAATATAGATTATCATTTTAGGAGAAGGTACATCGATGTATTCGATCGTTAATAGTTCTGTGTTGTTTTCTGTAGCATATACATGGTACCACTACTGTAATTGTTCAACAGCTAGATTAGTATACCTTACCTGTTTACATATTATATATGAATATACGACTATCATATCGTTTTATCGACTGGTATTATAGAAAGCCAAGTAAAAACTTGTGTCTAGTCATTTTTATTTGAATATGCATAGCCCTGATAAACAGTGAATACATTACTTCTAACACATTTATAAGCTTTTTTTGTGAAAATATATGAATATATTAATGTCACACCTTTATCTCGACTTGTAAAATAGAAAGTCAGTTTAAACCTAGTGTTAAGTTATTGTTATTTAGATATACATAATGCTTTTAAAAGGTGAATACAAATTATAACCTTGTCAACATTTTATAAATATATATTTCCTATATTAATTGTAATACAGTTATAAGTTGTTTTTTTGTGAAAAAAAAATCAAATGAAAAAAAAACAAAACATTAAGTCAATTAAATTCCACTTAACACACTGGGAAGATAATTAAATGGAATCCTTACATATTAAAGTGGCCTTTGAAACAATTGATAAAAGGAAAACATACAAGTTCAGTTCAATACAAGATTCAGTTTTAGAAACAAACACTTGGCGCATTAAAAAGTAAAAGCTCTATTGTGTCTAAATTAACTGATTATTCTCATGATCACATTATTATGTTTGTCTGTATCAGGCAGGTAGGCCATCGTAATGTAAGTTTCTTTTTGTTCCATTTCATCTATTTGAATCGTAATTAACGGTATGTCAATTCACCTTAAAATAAATTTAGTAAATAGGATCAAGACTCAGTATTATACAATTCTTCTCCTTTTTATATCATTTCTCTTCATATCTTTATGATAGTAACACTAAAAATTTGCAAAATGTTAATAATAACATTCACTTTACAAGCCAATTATTTATTGGCAGTAAATTAACGAAATATATGAATGTTAATAAAATGATCAAACTGCTTCAGAAGTCTAACCTACGTTTTCTCTTAGACATTAAAGCACCGAATGTTAAAAACAATATTTGACATGTCTGTAATAATTAATTTATATCGTATCTAAAAGTCAAAACATTTGCACATCTGTATCGATGCTTGTTTACGGTTTTGAAAGCTATGCGATACATAATTAATAAATAATGAAATGAGCAATGTTTGACACTAACTATTAATTAATTAATAAAATGCGTTGAGTGTGGAGTTATCGGCTTTGTCAGGCCATTTTGCAATAATGAAAAGTAATTTTTACTGTCAGCTTTTCATGGCCAATGATATGAACAAGTATGCACTAGCAGTTGTAATAATATGCTACAAAGTAATTATGACGAGTTTAGTAGCATTCCCAATTTTTCCAAGTCATTTTTGAGCATCTTAACTTTGATTCAAATTGAAATGGTTTTTATAATCACAAAACTACTTCTTTAACTTTATTTAGATTGTTTATAATTATTTCACTTGCTGCTTAGGATGTTAAATTATTACGCGATAATATCAAAATGTACATTTCAATGTCGCAAAATATACCCGCTGTATTTCATACAACGGAAAGGAAAAGCCTCGGACAACTCATTTTAATCAATTATTCTAGTATAAATTACTCTCTAAAAATTTGAAATAAAAAGTCCTTAAGCTATCTTTTAATATATCAAGTTACAAAGCCCATAATGATATGATTATGCCGGCTCGCCACGGCGAGCCGGTATTACGTTAGGATTTTACTGAAAAACAACCTAAAACTCCGAATCCATCCAAAAATTTAATCGAAGCTTGGCTTCCAGCTTTCTACAGAATTTATCTATCACGGCTAGGATCCAAAACCATTTAGCCAATCAAATTTAATCTTACATAGCGTCAAAAAAACCGTCAAATTTCACGCCATTTTTAAAAAGCAGCAAGTATTATTTTGAGCGCAAAGATATAATGATGATTAAAATGTTTGTTTTCATGAATTCTTTTCAAAAAATCATATTTACACTGACTTTTGTTTTAGCGATCTCACCTGTTCCTCTGTAGTAAGTTTTCGTTTGGTTAATTAACATAAGAATACATCTGGTTCTGTGCATTTTTTTCTTTTTCCTTTTTTCCGGTCATTTTATCCTTTATCGGTATTTAGTGTACATGTATATATTTACTGGCCGGGGTCCGGGAGGCCCGGACTGGCCGGGATCCGGGATCGTATAAGATATAGAGGGAATACTAATAAACTATATTTGTGTTGATTATTGTCGTAATGAAAGGACATTAAACGTTAAGTTTTTTTATTGTATGTAATAAACGTTAAATTAATCAAACTTTGGATATAAATATATTTAGAGGTATTTATTAACAAACTTAAAATGCGGAAATCCCAAAACTTATAATTATATGCCTAATTAATTGGAAAAATCAAAGACTACATTCTTGAATTGATGAAATCCCGGGATCCCTTTATGTTTTTATGCGATCCCAGCTTTTCTGAAAACTATATTCTTGAACTGGCCAATTCCTGGGATCTCTTTATATTTTAATACGATCCCGGCTTTTCTGAAAACTATATTCTTGAACTGGTCAATTCCCAGGATCCCTATATGTTTTAATAGGATCCCGGCTTATCTGAAAACATCTTAGACTGGTCAAAATCTTGGATCCCTATATTTTTTGTTAATAGGATCCCGGCTTTTCTGACAACTTGTGTTTACTTTAGGACTTGTGTCTGTCACTCATTCCAATACTAAATAACATATTACAACTTAACTTCGTATAAAGAGACATCTTTATGAATTCTACCTATCTAAGATTTTTCTGGTCAAGGTCAACAGGCCATATAGTAAATGTGCATAGACATAGGGACTTCATTCTATCTGTTTACATGTATCTTCATATATACTCATATTCCTCTTTGTTAAACTTAGAGAACTGGCTTCCATAACTTTATTTCACTTTTATTTTGTTGTTCGCTGAAGTCTCTTCAGCTAACAGAACTATCATTTTTAATTTTAAACGCACCCCTGGAAAAAAATTACGAAGCGAGTCGCTACTAGCTTTTTTAAAAGCTAACCTTGTCCAAGTTACATTGTTTTACCATTAAAAATGTTCCAATTAATAAATATGTACATCGTGATAGATATATGAACATATATATATGAATATATAAACATCCTACTAAATGCCTATGTTAACAAAAAAATACACTTAAAGGCCATGTGTGCCTAAGAAATGCTATTAATTTTATTGCTCAAAAATTCTTTTTTTTTGGTATTTTGTTACAATTTCCAAAATTTTACTAATTTTCCATATACATTTATATATAAACTATATTTTGCTGTATTTTCTTTCGCAGCAATTGGTATTATTATAGTGATTGAGTATTTTGTATGGAAGTCAAATGAAACATTACTAAATACATGTTTGACATTTAAAAAAAAACAACAAAAAAAACAACAACAAAAAAAACGGATTTCTGAAGCATAGCTTGACTTTCTTAAATAATGGTCAAGCATAAAAATATCTTATGAATACGATTATATTGAAATTTAAGTAACATTTAATAAAGTGAAAAAAAATTCTATAATATGTACTATATCTTGCTTTAAAATACTGTAAATTTTAAACTATAATTAACACTCATGCAGTAGCATGTTATGACAAAATAGTGTTACTAAAAGTGCGTGTCTTTAGCTTTTATTTCGATTTGGCATTAGTTGAAAAAGAAACAAGCCCACATCCCCACACCCCTAAAAAATGAATAAATAAAAAATACAAAAAAAAAAAATAAATAAAACAGAAAGAAAAAACAAAACACAAATAAATAAAGAATACTTTTCATCTAAAGAACGTTTAATAATTCAAGAAAAATAATTGCTACCTTCAATATTTATTGTTTATATTATTTGTATAAATAGGATTGTATATATTATATAGTGTCAAACAAAGGTTGACGGATCACTTTGTTTCCAGATTTTTATGTCAAATATACCTTCAGATGTAGATTGCTAAGTGGTATTAAACATTACTAAGCTAAAGAGACAAGAGCCGATTTAATTTTTTTAATGTTTGGCCCAACCTGATTTACACTTGTTCAGATAACATTGATAAGCGTATGAAGTATGTTGAATATATCTGAAATATATCTCAAATAAAACTGTCATTTGATTTTATATGAGTGAGCAACATCGTGTCTGTGAGAATAGAAGTATTGGAAACTGAGCTCTGCCTTTTAATCTCACGACATCCTTTTGCGGCTCACATCTTATATAACTTGTTACATCCGCAATCAGGTTGTTGATTACTTTTAAGCAGCATAAAAATAACAACAGTCTTATATATGGATATAATTCAAAACAGATATGGTTATTATTAATTGATTCTTTACTCAACATACTTCGGCAATAAGCTTTACTGTGATAAAATAAATGTTTTAGTGAGAGGTTAGGTACAAACATGGAATATAATGTTGGAGATAATGAAACAATAGACACAAATAGTAGTTTAGAGGATTACGCAGACTATTATACTGCTGAGGAATTCAAAGTAAGAAATACAATGTTTTCTTGTATATAATTCTAATAAATCAACAACGTGTTTTTCCGAAAAAGATATATATTAGTCCATATGACAATTAAGAAAGTAAATGTCCATTCGGTGTGTTTTTATTTCTGCTTCATAATTATATTATCAAAACACTATCCTTATATAAAACAAAAATTAAAAAAAGAAAACTCGATGATTTGTTATTTATGAGGCTGTTAATAACCTAAAACTAGGATGAATGATATCTTACATGCACTCCCAGCATTCAACTGCTTATATAACATTTCATTTCCTACTTACTAAAGATACATTATGCATCATAAATGAACATTTTTTTCCATCATAGAAAGGTCAAAGATGAGTTTTAAAAATGGTTTTGAGAATGTAAAATACTCATCACCTGAAGGAAGTAACCCTGAATATGAAAATATTTGTCATAAAAGTAGCACAATTTAAACAAAGAAGAACTTTAACGTCAATACAAAATTACAAATTCATTCAAGTATTTAATAACATTAAATTGTTTCGCGACGTCTTTTAAGGTTTATATTTTCAAACTTTCAACTTCTTTAATACGTTTAAATGGTAAATTATGATAAATCAAATGTTTTTTTTCTTTGCTATTGCATGACAGTTGAGAACGAATGGCATTTAAATGATTATAACTTGATAATTTTTTTTAATTTGTCTTTCACAAAAAACTAAACTTTGACTTTATAATAGATATTTTATAAGTAAATCAATAACAGATGTTGCCAGATATTTGAACAGGAAGCTACAAACAAATGAATGAATGTCAATGAAATAGATTATGTAATTAATTAGACAGACGCTTTAGGTGAAAACTACCCCTTTGCTCATAAAGGAACATTCATTTTTATTTCATATGGGATTATTATCACAGCAAAGCTGAAATAAATACTAAATTGTCATCCTTGATTAATAGTATGAAAGGATAATAAGATAAGGAAAGTTTGCTTATTTTCTTATTTTCTCAATTCGGAGAGTGTAAGATGTATAAGATATCAGCGTAAGCTTCACAAAGCATGTTTTAGAATACAATCTTGCTAAGATATACTCAGTTTCATGGCAGAATAATTTGAAAAGGTGAACAGTAATCTTTGTTAAAGACGGCAATTCAAAATGTAAAAATACATAATGACTGTTTGTTATGCGCAATAATATAAACAACATAATTCAATATCTTAAATAATTCTTTTTTAATTTTTCAATTGTTCATAATTACAATAATCGTTTTATCATTCAGTTTTAAATATGTTTTTTGCGTGTATGATATATATATTTACAAAGACAAACACCTAAGTGATATTAATATTTTCAATCGATTAATCTGCTCAAAGAAAATTAGCTACTCATCACGTAGCCTTATTCAATGAATAAAAGATCAAGAGTATGTTCGGAAGAGAGAACAAAGGCATTTCCATATGGTTTATTCATACGAACAAGTCATTAATAATATAAATCACAATAACATCTATTTCCTTCTGTCTTAACGGGTTATCATTCATACTGTTACAAAATGTTAAGCAAAACACTAATACCTAACACAAAAGTACAATAACCTAACTGGTGAAATTATAACTTCAATGTGAGCATGTATATAAATGTATATAACTATCATTTTCTATTAGGAACCATAGTTTTATGGCATGATACATACGTACCTGTTTATCAAAGCTTTAAGCCAAGAACGTTTATGAATATCCTGTTATAACACTTGTTTCGTGCTAGATTGAAGTATGTTATGTCTTTTAAGAGAGTATTTTTGAACAAATATAGAATAAATCAAGAACTGTTTTATTTGAAAAAGTCTTCCTCAGAATTTCACTAGTTGTTTTAATACTCTAACTTATACCTGTCTGGAATAAGGCAGAAAAGTAATGTTAAATTGGCTAAAAGATAAGCCGATATATGTAATACATGTGCTAAATGATTCACGCAAGTATTTTTCTAAACGTCGAGTAATAATATCAGTTAAGAAACGTTTTATGTTATTAATTGGCATGGGTTTCTTTTAAAATGAATTCAAAAAAGCAATGAATAAATAAAATGCGTTGGATGTAAGAAGATGCTTAAAAACCTTTATAAACTAAAAGGAATTGTCATTTTTCATGAATTAAAAAATTAAGATTGGATTCTCAAGTTTTTTTAAAGTTTAAAAATTGCAATGCTAAGAGCTTCACTTGGATATGAAACTTTGAGGAAGCGTACAATAGATTTCATGCAAAGACGGATCCCCATATAAACCATGCTGGAACAGCTGGAAGTTAAGCCTCTAGAATAACTACCGACAGTGTGGGAAATCCCTCAAGAAGGCGGAGTATTAAAACGTATGTTTTACCTACAGAATGTTCACCGCATTAACTTTCAAGTTGAAATATCATTATTTAGGGTCACAAATGAAACGCATTTGCACAAGGAAACAAAATTCAATTTAATCTACGTTTCCTATCTTTAGTACCGTTTGTATTTTTAATATTTTGAAACAATGGAAAAAAGTTAAAGCCTAATCTGGGTTATCCCTTTTATTATAAATTCTAACACTCCCCGTATCTGGTCACCATATACAAAGAAGAACAACCGGCGATAAACTCCCAATAACACTCGCTATGGTCTACCTGCATATGCGATAGTTATCTTATCGAGGGTCAATTTCTACACACTGTAAACCGATGGTAAATATTCGATAAAATTCATTCGTTACCTTCATCAATAAAATCATATAGTAATTACACACCTAAATATGTGTATAATGGGAATGTTGGATACAGTTGAATTGGAAAGGCAACCTTAATTTATCGAAAAAAAAAAGAGTATTGAAAAACATCTGTAATCTTGAATAAAGGAATTGATGTTATAAAATAGTTTTTTTTTATTTATTTATTTTCTCTGGAAAGAGTATTTACAAAAAAACTACAGTGTTATTGTGTATGTTTGTTGGTATGATCATACTTTTCTAAAATTTGTTTTCAAATTTTACCAAGCTTATCTGTTTGGCCGACGATCAAGAAGATGTTATCAAAATATAGGCTTCTTACGTTATTTCTTTGAAACATTTTATCACGCAAGTACTTTATCCTGCAGCTTATCTAGTTCTTATGTCTTATTCCGTTTTTATTACTCACGATAATAATGCTAATTTGTATATGGAGACATTTTGATGTCGAAACATGAATGTTGGATAATTTCATGTAACATTGCAACATGATTAAAAAGCAGAAATAGAATTATCAAGCAATTTCCATATTCTGAGATTACTGTTGTATAAAAACATGTTATCAAATTATTTGCTCCGTATATCATAGATTTATTACTTTGGTTAAAAAAGCTATTAGGCTCTGAATACATTTTACATATATTTTTACTTCAAGCAACATTCAATGATCGGTCAGAGAAAAGAAATATAAATGTTGTTCAGATAATTCATATATATTTTTAACAAAACATGTCCATCATTTTCCAAGTTTAAAACATAACAGATGTGTTAAGTCCAAATACCGTTCAGATAGTTGTGTTCAGTAGCTTCCAATAGTCTTTGTTTCAGTTGAAAATTGATGAATAAGGATAAAACGGTATATTTTATTTTCTTCTAATTTATAAAAGACGAGTTAGGACTCAAATTTTGACAGATTGAATTAAATAAGCATTACAAGCATAACAATACATTCAAATTGCTCTGCTTGGGATTTTGAAAACATTTACAAGGTTATATAGTCGGCAGAAAGGTATAAGGTCATAAAGTATTTTAGAAATACCCCCCCCTTACATACCATTGTTTTCTACCACTAAATCAATAATATGCTCATAAACACCTAGTTTAAAGAGTAATAAAACACTTATACTAATTATAATGATTTTACGGTACATATTAATATGCTTTTGTTCACAAATAGTAAATGTTAATAAAATTACGTTAAATTATAAAGAAAACAACGGTCCAGCCCGATTAGAGTTTCTTCCATTTAGGAATTTATTTTCATTGAAATACTGCATTCGTAAGGGATTACTAAAACTAAGCAAGTGTTACTAGTGCCTATAACTTGAGAGAAGAGTATTTAAAACGAAATAATTGAATTGACACGTGGTCAAAATTTTATTAATATAAACAATGAATTAAATAAAATTGAAGAATTATACATGTATAATTTATTATATATTATTTTCAAAAAAGGAATAACAAAAACAATAAAATACACCACCACCACAACAACAACAAACACAAAAGTATACGCTTGCATGTTTTTGAGAAGTAAAATATTGTTTTTAGCAAATATTGTCTTAGATATTCAACTATTACTATTCCCACAGCGTGATACAATGGTTCGGATTTTTAACACATGGAATGTTTTCATTGACAAGAAAAGCAACGTAACGAAAAACAATAAAGTGCAAATAAGATTATTTTGGATCTTAACTAGAAATGCTTTTTAATGAATTATCAATCATCATAAACATGTTTATCCCAAGTACCTTCGCAATTATTTGAAAAATATTTACTGTTTATAGTGACTATTTTGCTGAACCAACGTGACCTTTATTGTTTTCTATTGTGTCAAACTCTATAAATAATTTAAAATGCAATGCTGAACTGTTATAATTAAAAATAATTACTCAAACAGTGTGGTAACATTGAAAATAATAAAGCATTAAGCTCTCGCAAATTCATTTGTTCAAATCAATAACTATTTTATTTATTAAAGAGCTTATCTCAAACGTGACTGAAAAAATGACAGATGTATAAACAAATGTACTATCAATTGAATTAATAAAGTATGACATTGTAGAAAAAAGATGCAACAGCGATTAAAATACACGCTCAAATGATTACTTATGACCATTTGATTAATACTTTAAAGTTACATGATACCTAGTGTATGTCAATACCATGCCATATCCGAACTCATTATTCATAAAATCAATAAAGAAAAACAGAACAGCAACTGAATCAAATAAACCAAAGGCTTAACACATTAGAATATAATATGTTTAATAACACATCGTTTGAATGATTATGACATTAAATTGGTTCATTATTAAATAAATGCCGCAAAATAGAAAACATATCTAAACGATACTTTAACCTTTAAAACTCGATCTGCAAATTTTGATTTCGAGTCAAATTGATTTGCGAAAACAACATTTTTGTGTGGCCATATTGTCAATAACGTACATAAGGTGAATTTGTTTGAGATTAAAGCTGAAAAGGGGCAAAGAATGTATCTTAATGTATTTCTGTAATTAGTTTAAAACAACTCAAAATTTAATATCATGACTAATTATCTTTCGAGTTATACGTATAATGACATGTTTTCGAAATAGCATGGCATCCAGTTAACAGATGTTCGTTTTCACCCCAGTCTATTACCAGTGAACATAAGGTACATTATTTATGGAAAACTTTAAAATGTGTCTATGAATACCTACCTGTCCATGTGTATGTGATCATTAAAGTTATGTTTGCATGCTCTTTTGCTCATGATTCCTGAATTAGAAATATAAAAATATAAAATGCTTCTTGTCCATAAAGACACGTTCAATTAAAGGTACATGTTCTTTGTTTGAATATCAAAGTAACTAAGACTACAATTTCGTTAAACTCATTTTAAATATAAAAATTGCCATAAAATTATTATGACGTCTTAATGGTAACCAGACTTATATGTTTAAAACTGACAAAGTGTGTTTTTTGTGGTTTTTGTCAAGTTTATGTACATACAGTACAACAGTACAACTATTTACTTTGAGAAGCTATTATTGTCCCAGCTTGCGGCATTGTTAATGAAATATTGCTTAAGATTTATGATAAATAAGGTTTAAAACAAGCATTATGCATAACAGAGTCTTATTATTGCATAATTCCTTATCTAAATAAAATGTAAACTAATCTTATTTTCACTTCAATACAAAAACTTATTTTCATTCACAAGGTTTATGGTGACCTCTGTTTTGTTCAATACTGAACAAAAGCACGCCCGACCCTCCATGCAATTGGAATTTCGAACTTTTTTATATAGGAAATCAAAGTCAGTGTGGAACGTATTATAATGAAAATTTGCCTTATCATCTTCATTTGTCCATTTAAAAACAAATCAGTAAAGAACCTTTTGTAAAAATTATATGTATATAATACTCTGCATTGAAGCTGCTGTGTACTAATTTTAATTTAATGTGGTATTGCTAGAACTTGTTGCCTAACTTTTTGCGTTTTGTTATAAACTCATGATTGGTATAATATATGTATTTGATGAAATTAATTATATTAAATATGTTCATAATGTTTTCAACTAAAACTAAAAAAACAAAACATTTTTGTTGGTATATTTCAGCCATATGAAGAAGCTGCTGCTACAATTTCCTTACTTTTGTTCACAATCATAGTTTGTCTGAATGGATTTGTGATTTTTATCCTCGTCTTTAGAAAACAGAAAAAGAGTCGTCTCTTCTATTTTGTACTGCATTTAGCAATAGCTGGTAAGAAAATACATTATGTAACTTTAACAAATTAATCTTAGATACACATAAAAAGTTAAAACATGTGTTATTGCAATTGTCTTTTCATCTCTTAAAGCACTTCTCTTTTTTCATTATCTGAATTTAGAACATGTAACTAATCAAATATTCCATTTTTTTTCACATACCTGAGCCGCGTTTGCTACTCTTTTAACATGGTATTGCACGGTCATGCATATATTTTGACGTGCCATCATTAGCGCTACATAAACATAGCGTTAAGACACATGTTAGCGTTATTCTGTAGACGCGTCAATGAAACATGGCTCTTTTTCACTTCAAACTTCGTATAAGGTCATTACTGAATTTATTGAAGCCGTTGAATAAAGTAATATCATGGATGCCATAGGCTCGCGCAATATTATTTTATTTAACTTGTTCAATAAATTCAGTCTCCAGGAACGATGGTAAGGAAACTACCCGCTTATATGACTGAAATACTGTTGGGAAAATGCGTAATATGAAACAAACAAACAAACAAAACAATACATTCAGTATTAAACTAACACTCATTCAATATAATAAATACATCCAGCTGTAAAATTATTTACATAAACATATCCGTAGCAATTTTATCAAAAGACAAAACTTGTTTGGGAAATTTAAAAAACCCCAAAAATCAAAATTTAAATTTTTTACAAAAACACATTCACTAAAAGATTAAAACTTACGTTACTTTTAAAAAACTCGCTTTTAAAAGAATGCTACCCTGGGTTTCCCATCCATCCACCCAAATACTCCATCCATTTTCCCCCTATCTGCCCGATTTACTATCTTGTTTATAATCCAACAACCGAAGTTGGTTTTTGGTTTTTTTATTGATGAAATGCCCTTTTTCAAAGAAGAAAAAAAAAATTAAAAAAATTTCAACCTTGAACATGAAAGGGGTAATGATGTCCAAAACTTTAAAGGGCAAAATCAAGAAAAACGATTTGGGAATAATTTTTTTAGAGATGTGAAAAAGCCCAAACACTTTTTTTCGGGGAAACGTTATACATGTATTGATTTATTCCCCTTAAATTTTTTAAAGTCCTTTAACAAAATTTTTTAAGGGTTTTTAAAATTAAAAATTTGGGATGTTTAAAAAACTTATTTAAAAAGATATTACCGGTTTTAAACTTTTCCCATGTAAAAAAACCCGGAGGTAAAAAAAACTTTATTTTTATAGATTTTAAAAGTAAAAATTTTAAACAATAAAAATTTTGAATGCATATTTTTAATGATTACATATAATTTTTTTCCCCAATTTTCAGAAAACAAAATTTAAATATTTTTCAAATGTTTGAAAATTTTTTTATTTGCATAATTATGTACATATATATAATTTCATTTAGTGCGGTTTACCACTTTGGTCACAACATACAGGATCTTTAATTAATTCAAATGTAATAAAATAATTAGAAGAGTTAAATGTAACATGCATTGAAAAAAGAGAGTAAAAATCAAACTTAAAAAAAAGTGTTTTCACACCTTATTGAAAATTGGTTATGATTATAAAATTTCAGATTTTCTTGTGGGTTTCTGCAGTGTTCTTGGAGATGGTATACAGAGTGCAATGCACAATGAATGGTACGGTGGTGACATCTTTTGTAGACTATTTCGTTTTATTTCACCAATGGCTCTTATTGCTTCCAATAATCTTCTGATCGGTATGAGTGTAGACAGATTTCTGGCAATCAAATATCCACTGAATGTTGTTAGAATAGGTATGTTTTCTTTTCATTTGATTTCTTTTCTTATTTCATCAATATATACATACACGTATTTCTGAATAATCATTAGACACACTCAAGTAATGATAACTCAGATCTAATCATCATTAAATAGTTTTTATTAACTGACACATTTCTACATTCCTTTTGATATTTTAATCACCGCTTGCTTCAATCTCGATGCAATTAAGCATAAGGGAAGAAGCTGGTCAAAACTGTCCTAGCCTCGATCACTGACTTAAAGGCACATTTTCCACAGAAGAAAATAAAATTTCCTGTCTCCACATGAGGGACTATTTCATTATCCCTCATATGCAGACTCAATCAAATCGAGTCTGCAATTTTCATGTAATCTTGTTGTGATTAATACTTCCGAATTAAAGAATTAAAAAAATAGCATTCTTATTGCGTTTCAAATAATGCTTGAAGAGCATGTTAGATGCATATTATCTGAAGATAGTGTCGTTAAAGGTGCAAATATTCGTAATAAATGTAGATAATGTATACAAAGCAGTATTCTGACTTCCATACAAAATAATCAACATTTATAACTGTACAACTTGCCAAAAAAGCAATAAATGCGAATGATGCTTCAGGTAATTGGCCAATTCGTGATATTTTTAGAATAATAAAAAGAAACTAAAAATAAAAATATTTTGTCATAACAGGCCTCTAAGCACAGATCAATTTAATTCTTTTTATTTTATGGCACATTCATGAATAAAGAAACTTTTGTAAATGTAATCAAATGCTTTTGGATATATGCATGTATAATAAATGTAAACATATTTGAAAACTGTGATGATACTGATAAGGTCGGTATTTTTTCAGATAAGTTTCAATAAATATCTTATTAAAAGCACATGAAACATTAAAATGTCGTTATTTTAATTAATTTAAAAAAAAAAATGCACATTATCTTACACCTTGTAACTCGCTGGCTATATTCCGAACCAAATTTTGATTCATTTATCCATTAGCCATAGTCATATAGATATTTGTTTACAAAACAAATAACTACATTGTTTACGTTTTGATATTTTAATGGCTATTTATTTAACATTAATTATTTTAGTCATGTCATATGGATATAACTTGCTCCCTACCTATTATTTAAAGAACAGAACAAGGTTTGTCCTTTTTTCAGAGAAAAACTCACCTTCAGTTTAAAGGCTTTAATGTGTCTTTTATTGAGAGTCGGCTAATGTAGACGAAAACAATTTTGATTTCAACTGGTCATCCCTTTCATAACTCTGTTTTGTCTGATTTTGGTATATCTTTATCATAGTGACAATATGCCAATTAATGTGTAAATTGTGAGTGGTCTGAAAGAATGTGTTATTTGCTTTGAATTTTAAAATTATTGTTTTTTCAATTCATTATTTCATTACACATCAATAATCAATATCTCACCAGACCAACAGGCGTTTCTATTAAATTAAATGTAGATGGATTTTAAGATAAAACAATGAATGCGGATACTGTTCTGATAATTAGGGTCAATATCAAGTTAATATAAAGTTTTATAACTATTTACTTTATGAAACAAATATTTGCAGAACTGGAATCTTAATCATATCAAACCATATAAAATATACGTACGAATCTATCTTTGTAGGTGCATACAGGTATCTTGACAAAGGTATGGTATTTGGGGCATGGCTTTTAAGTTTGTTGGGATCAAGCTTTTTCATACCCTACACTCGAGGAATCAATGCAAATCCGGATTCTGCTGATATGTATGAACAAAAAGGTTCTTGTAATATAGTCATGCCTGAAAGCTGGTGGAAGGTAATACATCGATTATTAAACTGTATGTTAAAGGTGCTCCACTAACATTATCTGTCACAAAAAAGTAAATTTTCACTAACCGATATTTTTTGTTACCCTCGTATTAGGGACATTTAAACAAAATTAGTGATACATTTATATGTTTTATCTGGCTTGGCAATTTGTTTGAAATATATATTTTCTCCAGTTTCGTGGGAAAAGCGTTTAAACGCTGTCAGTTTGTAAATCTGAACGTCCGGTCTATAAATAACGGTCACGTGATGAGTCTTGGTATGACTAAAATGCGAAACGGAGAATTTTTTGTGTATTGGCAACAACGGAGTAGGAAAATGGAATATATCAACATTGCATAAATTTAAGAACAAATTATTGGCTTGTTTGTTAAATTTCTTGTTGTTCACATACATGTATGTGCTTGTGAGATAAATCATTCAAAAGATATTTCAATTATAGTGTTGTAATCATGTTTTGTTTACTCCGTTACGATGATGAATTTGGCTAACGTACGGAGTGAGAAACAGACACATACAAACTTTACAAATATTCTATGTTATATTGAGTGCTATCATTTTATTAATAAATATTACGTATAAACTTTGTTATGGTAAAAATATCAAGATATCTAGGCTTATCAAGACAGTGTAATGGTTCGTATTTTAAAGGTCACTTTGGTTTATCTGACACCTGCTCAGAAAAAACACCGTAATAAATTTTATACAACGTACAAGATCTTGAGTATTGTAAGAATAAAAAAACCACACGCACACGTGCACACACAAAATGTTATTCCGAAGAAAACGATATCGTTTCCTCTTCAACTCGGATCAAAGCACTGAAATCACTGGCTAAATGTAGAATGAATCAGGCGACATTATAGGACATTCAGGCATCACAATAACTAGTAAATAATTTTAGATGTGCCTAGTGCATATAATTAAAATTTTGCAAGAAAAAATCGATGTCCTTTTGTAGAAAGATCTGAAATTTTATTTTAATAATTTTTCACACATTCTTGCATATTTATCCGCCTTGAATGTTTGTTGATAAGCAGATAACTACGTTTTTGATCTAGACATTCAAAACTATAGGTAATTAATACCTGTTTTATGCAACTAGCATATGATAAACATTATCAAGAAGGTCGGACAAGAGTAACAATTTGGCTCTATTAAAGTTTAGGTTCATTTTCTGACTATCTGGCTGTTAGACACGAGTGACTAGACTGGTTTCAAATAATTCAATGGGTGCATATTGAGCTGGTGCATTTGATTGCATAAATAAGTTAGGAAGAGAACCCGACTTTTCCTGCTTTATAGTTCTGAAATCTTTACTTTTCCCGTCTTTTTAACCCTACTTTTGTCTCTTCTTTCTCCTTTTTTTCTGTTTTCTTTTTGTTTTGTTATTAGCCACTTGAAAGCCTTAAGGTATTTTTTTCATTGTTATCTTTGCTCCGGCCCAGGGTCGTTTGGTCGTGTGGGTTTTTTCGTTCATTGAATGCTACCATTCCTTGTTGATCTTGTTTTTTATATGTATGTTCTGGAGATAAGGTGGCTGTTACTCGTAATTCGAAGATTAATGAGTGTATTAAAATCCTTTGTAAATTGTTTCGGTAATACAGGATTTCGTTTTGAAAATTTATAGAGCTACTTTCTTTAGTATTTTAAACGCATGATCGAAAATATCACAGTTACAGGCATTACAATTAATTTGTAAGTATTTGGGTTTTTATAATTTTACCGTCATCAAACGTTAAAGGTCAACTAAGACATTTTCTTTGGAATTTAATACTAAGTGTTAGCACTAAACAATAAGAGAGGTACACCAGATTGCTTGCAAAATCTTTATCAGCAGTATTACTAGGTTCACAAAATAGGATTTTTTACAGTCATGATCATATGAATAGACTGTAACCTTTACTTTCTTTTACCGAAAGATATCGGACCTTCGTATAATACCACGGAAGATTTTAAGTAGTAGACAGAAAGTTCTTAATATAAGAATAGTAAAGATTTTAATAAAAAAACAAATTTATGATAGAGAAATCAAGGGTCATTACGCTACTTATTAATTTCTTTTCCCATAAAAGGAGGTTTATTTTACTCGTATAAATTATTATCAAGAGCAGAAGTCTCAAAAATGAAAGGTTTTACTGATATTAAGGCCTAAAACCTGGCATAAAGAATTCTTTTACCTGTGAAACTGGAGTGAAAATGTGTTAGTTTATCCGTTTTTCCAATGCCTTCAGCACTTATATCTTATCTGTAGTACATCAAAACCATATCACTTTCACCGAAAAATCATTAAATTCTAAACAAGTTTCTTATAGAATCATAAACATTGAATAACATACATAATGACAGAAGTACACTTGAATTTGATGTAATGTTCAGATATAAGTGTGTTTGGAACGTGTATGTAAATACTATCAAGATAGTCTACGAACGTCACTCATTGTACTCAGATGCCCGTTTGTGGTGCCAGAAACAATTTTGCAAAGAGGGGCACCTGAGTTTATTATCCACAAGTAAAGCAAAAGAGTCGCCATAATGACCTACACTGTTTTTGTGCGACAAAGCCCCCACCCCCGAAATAAGAAAATGAAATCAAATGAGACATGCTTTTAAATTTATCATTTCTTACAGGATGGAATGTCATTAACTCTATTTGATTTAAATACGTAATATACAGAGTTAAATATTCTTACTAGTGTGATTACATTGTGTTCGTTATAGTATACATATCACCGATGCACTTTGTTCGTCTACATCCAGTTCTTCAAAATATCGAAATTGAAACTTTTCAATATACATCAAAACAAACTTGCTTTAATTTCTTACACTCAGTTAACAGATAATTTTATTTTTGGTTGAATATAGGTATAAATTAACTAACAGTATTCTAAAAATTTTAAAGAATATACATGTATATAATATCACCGTTTTGTCGAGAAACTGTCTGTTTCACTGGCGTTTAATTTTTCAAGACTTCAAAATTGCTACTTTGAATAGCTTTTATACAATTTTTCTATATTATACTTAAGTAACATAAACACGATCGGTTAGAGTGTTGAGAAAAATCAATAGACTTTTTGCCCCGTTTAATCCGTTGCCCTCAAAAATCTCCGTTGCGTATGTAAGTAATACCCGATGAATTATGAGTAACTTCAGTACATGTCTGGATAACTAACTTTCATTTTCGTATCAAAAGTTAATGTAAAAATGCATTTTCTAGCGTAATTGTTGATAAAGGGTTGGTTAAAATGTAGTAATTGTTATTTTAGTAATAATATTGTAACATGTGTGGAAATTTGTTTACAATTTTGGACACCTCTGTGGAGCTCCTTTAGCCTAAAAAAATATTATTTTAGAATATAGAAATGTAAGAAAACAGCAGCAACAACAATAAAAGAAAAACATCAACAAAAACAAAAACAACAACAAAAATTATAATGTAACAGAAAAATCTTAAATGTAGGTATATACCAAGTTTTGGCCTGCTGTATCAGATATATAACTACAAATTATTATTGGTTTGGACATATTTTTATCTTATTTAGAGATTTTGCTTTATTTAAAGATGTTAAATCTTGACCGTAATTATGATTGCTTACAACTAATGTTGTTTCAAAAAGCCTCAAAAATCATTTTTATATTGATAGTCCTCGGTTTAAGGTTTGTTGCAGAAAACAAAATCAATGAAAATACAATTTGACTTTATTTTGTATTTTACAGCCGTATAGTTTAATAGTTGCAGTAATAATATATGTGTTACCAACAATCGGTATAACAGGGTGCTATGTGGGTATTTGTATCGTAGTCTGGATGAAATGGCGTTCAAGACTGAAATTATCAGAGATAGATACCAGTGAAAGCAGTGGTAAGATATATAAAATACGATAAATAAAGAATATTCTAGTGTCGATTAGTGATGATAATAAAGATATCAACTGGTAATTACATATAGTTAAAGATAGTTCTGCATAAGAATATACAATTGTTACGATATAGTTACTATAAAAGACTAAGGATTTGAACCCATGTAAATATACTTCAGAATAGTCTGCCTTTTATAAAAATAAACATACGCATCAAACTTGATCATTTATCCAACTCATTGATATACTTGACTTTATTCCAAGAAATGTATACTTCAGCAGAAAGTGCTATCACAATTCACAATACAAAACATAATTAACACGACTAGAAATTAATATTTTACTCATTCTCTTGAGTAAGACATGCTTTAGATAAGTAAAATATGTGTTTGTGTAAACTCATTTTGTTATTTCATCAAATAGATCGACTTCACGGTAATAGATCATTAAGCGAAGGTCTCCTACCAAGGGCAAAGATAAAGAGCATTAAAATGACATTGGTCGTGTGTTTGGGTATGTATCATTCTGTGAAATAAACAAAGCATCTGCTTCATCAAATAATGTGTTAAAACATTTCCTGCTGATTTTTAATATTTTGTAATTATTATTTTGCTTAGTAAGAGAAGGATGTATACATGTAGTTCTATTCATATTCTTTGATATATGTCAAATGAGCTATGAAAACAATTAAATTTATACCTTTTTGTGTAAGTATGATAAATCATCCATGTAGTATAAAATGAGATAAGAATGTCTTTGAATTTTTCATGGTGTAACTAATAAACATATGAATTTTTCTTTTCAGCTTTCTTTATATGCTGGACGCCATATTTCGTAGTCATGTTAATGAACACCTATCACCAAGGTACAATTGGATTCAAAGCTCATCTGATATTTGGCTGTCTATACCCACTAAACAGTGCCTGTAATCCTCTTATATTCATGTTATTCAATCGCAAACTGTTCATTTGCGGGCAAAAAGACCAACAGGCTGGGCAATCGTATGAAGGCATGAGCACACAAGTGACGTCAACGTGACTAGGCGCGTTCCTCTGGGTAGTCACTCAGATCCTACATGTTCAAAAAACAAGATCAGATGAATTAAGAAACAGAAATGAATACAATTTATACTAAAGTCTAGCATATTTTACCTTTGAGTAGAATAGAAGTATCAAAAATGCTTTGTGTCATAGATTAATGACTAACCAAAACATTTTTGTTTTCATGCAAACATGAAATGATTCGCGTGCCTGTAGTATCATACGCAAAATAGTGAATGTTGCTTCAAAGCGAAAGGGCTCTAATAATGTAACAATTCAAGGACACTATTCATTTAACTTAAGCAGAAAAAGTCTTACAAATTTAAAAAAAAACAATATTCTATTTCATTTCTTAAAAGAAATCTAAAATAGAGCTTTTAAAAACAAAAACAGGTATATATATGAATATGTTATTTTGATGAAGGTCATGTTCTACATGTTTTATTGTTTAGTTGAAAATTATACAAATCCAAACACCAATGGCCTTTTAAAAATTTCCATCTTCATAAAACGAATAAAGTTCTAGTTATCATCACAAAAGTATGGTTGCTGATATCTGCCATGTCACAACTTCGTCTTGTCGCAGTTGAAATGGCGACAACACGAAATAACGAGACAACAACAAAAATATATTTATCGTTTTATCGCACTGTTTTTATCGTTTTGTTATTGCTTCATGTAGGCTCCTTATAAAAATCTTGAAACAAATTCATCCCTCGGAAGAATTAATCACAACAAAATTACATAAAAACTGCAGACTCGGTTTGATTAAACAGACATGATTATTTTGGCTAACTTCGGGTGTGTTTATCATATTTTACAAACTGAAAGCAACACCAGGGGTCTTACTGCTGAAGGTAAAAGATGCATAGAATCCAGTAATTTGAACCCGTTTAGTCTCTTACGATCACGCAGGGATTAACGGTGGCTGTATTTCTGTAAATAACTGTGATACAATGTTTCATGGATATCGATATACAAAGATTAGGCTTGAGCTGGCAGATTGAATTGATCTTTCTTAAACCGGTCGTTTTATTTAGATTAGAAGTTCTTTTTTAACATGTTTAATTTATTTTTGTGTCAACAGATCCATAAACAATCGGTTTTCAATAAATTATATACGCCATGTACATTGTATTTTAACAAATGAAATTCTATATTAAATATTTTAACTTGATGGTTTTTTATTATAGTTGTCTAGATAACTAGTTTCCTTATTGTTGAATCAACAGCATACATTTCATGATTATACGAATTATTGTTTCTGGCATCGTCCCTTTAAAACATTTCACCACGCACGTGTCTGTCAAATAAAATGTTACAAAGCATTTGAAGTCTTGTTCATCATTTTAACGTTTTCTATACACGTACTTGATGTTTTGAAATAATTTACAATTATTATGTTCTCATTCATAATTATTTAAAATTTGACAGATTTAACTGAAGCTACAAATCATCCATACAACCTTTCTGATCAATTTCAAGGATATTTGGACTCTTACTGTCTTTGCAAGGGTTTTTTCATATTTTCGACTGTGTGACCTAGTTTTTGACCCCAGAAAACCCATATACGAGCTTAAGCTAGAAATAGTCTGAATAATTTTAAAGATATTTGAACCGAAACAACAGCCTCTGTGACCTAGTTTTCCAGTTATACTTTAGATAAGAATAAATTCTTTAGGAAGAAGATTCAGACACTTATGCACCCGTTTGCACTCTAGTACACGTTAGTATTACGTATACGTATGTACGTCATATCGTTTTTACAATGACATATAACCCTTATTGTCGTTTAATTGCTTGCCGATAGACAAAGCAATGAATATGCATATATCTGGGAACTCTGTTATATATTTATGTGACTTTTTCAATACAATTATTCGAATTATACTATATACTTTACTGATGTTTCATATGTGTACCAATAATTATTTCACTAAATTGCCTTGTTAAAAAGTATAATCGAACATTTACCATTATTTTTGTAAAACAAATGAAATTATCAATGATAAACGAAGGCAAGAAGGAGAAATTACTATGTGTAAAATTAGACTTTGTGGTTTGAAGACAATGTCGAACTCGACCTGTATTATTTGATGTTTAATGACCGTCTACCTATGTAAAAAAAGATTACGTTTCAATGCCTTGTTGAAAAGTAATGATCTGGAACACATATTTAAAAACCACAAAGAGATAAAATTGTGTGAAAAATTAATAAGAGGCGTAAGCAAACTTTGAACTTGACCTGTATTTTATACTTATAGACCTATGTAAAGAATTATGAAATATAATAACAATAATAATAACAATCCATAGCCCATTCTCATTCTAACTCTAGATTTTCATTTAGTTTGACAAAAAATAATTTTTCTATTTTAAGCCGAAGTCATATTGATCGTAAACATAGGGGTTCGAAAGCAATTGTAAGCGAGGTCTTTACATTAACTTGCTCTAAACTAAGTATGAATACAGTTTTTTTATTTCTACTGCTGAAATCTTAAACATCCGCATATGTATTCTTACAGTTAGGAAACGTGAGAGTAACACGTCCTTAAAATTATTTGTGTGCCCAAAACAAGAACTAAATAGGCGGAACAAAATAAAACTGAATTTTGAAAGGGATCAGAAATTATGAAACCACGTCAAAGACATTTTTCAAAAGACAAATTTAAAAAGCAGGTAAAATATCATATGGATGATTACACAGTATTCAAGTAGGCATACTGGTACCACCCAACTAGAAAACTGATCAGATAAAAAGAGCTTAGACAGTTCAAACACAGTAATGTCGTGAAATGTTTTTCTGTATTTATCTGGTTTCCGTTTTTTTAAAACTTAGATAATGAACGAAAAGAAGCTCATAAAACATTGAATGTATGCTCGGATAGACAAAACGATTGATCTTTCGTTTTATAATTTATCTTTCTTCGATATATAAAAAAGTCCTAATGAACACCTTTATTAATTCAGGTGACACGTGTTTTGATGAGTTATATAATTCAGATTTTGTAACTGTTGATGTAAACAGGAATTTTAACCATGCAAGATAAAAGGGAGGTCCACTTAGCGGTTGTCTAACATTTTCATTATTTATGATACACACAACTCAAACGAATACGCTTAATCAATCAAACGCGATATGAAATTTCAGTATTCAAATTGTTTATATTGCATGCGTGCAACATTACTGATTACTGATTGAGTACAAGAAAAAGACTAAAAAAATGACAAAAACTCTCAATTCTATTGAGAATCTTTATTCACGCAACATATGTTATTCATAAGTTGTACATGTTTTAAAAGAATGTAATTACCCTATAGAATTAAGTAGTAAGTGACAATCCTTAGAACAAGCTGCTGAAGAATAACTCTAAATGCTTCAATAATCTCAAGTCATCCTAAATTGGCAAACACGAAGTTTTCCAATGAAACTCCTTTTCAGTTTAATTGTTTAACTGCTGAATTTGTGCAATGAATTCCCTTGCTTGTCAGTGGTTCTATGTAATGGAATGCGTTCATTGATCAGTTCTTTTTTTCGCCTTATAATGTCGTACAAAGGAGACCCGGACTACTGAAAAGCCAATAAGGGCGCTCGTGGCCGTGTGGTTAAGCACTTCAAACCACTTGCCGATCACCACAGCACGTTCGAGTCGCACCAGCGTCAACATCAAAACCCTAAGATAACTTACCAAAAATGATGCTTAAAGAGACAGTTTTTTTAATTAAGATAACTTATTGAAATGGTTTTGTAAATGTATGTGTAAGATATATTTTCCATCAAATGTTAAAATATGATAAACAAGATAAACAAGGAAAGACGGTGTTCAATAAACACAACCACCATATGACCCAGCAACAAGCAACAGTGGCAAGGAGCCAAGGCGGACCCCAAACAAAAATAGGACAGGGTACAAGGCAAATCACGGACAGGCCAATCACTAAAATGATAAATAATTTGTTACTTCAAAGAAAACAAATAAATGATTGCATAATAGGAAATAATTTGTCCCTGATAATGAATTTAAAGAAAAAAATGATTGAGAAACAGCCTTACAAAGTCAAAGGGCACAGGGGAAGGGGACAGGAGACCTGGGGAAGAGGGGAGGGTGTAAATTAAAAAAAGTAAGACTAGGGGCATAGAGAAAGAAACTTACTGTAGACGAGAAGACATGTGTCCATATAAAAGTCTGTATTGACAAAATTGTAAAATCAATCTTAAGCACAGGTGACCTTGATCTAAATAACCCTTACCTCAATTAAGAGCAAGAAAACCGTGCAAGTTGTCATCCTTTCAAATATCATTGACACACTTGACCCCTTGAATGCTATGAAAGTTATCTCCTTGCCAAATATGAAAAAATCTGCCAATAAATAAATGGGAGAAAGTGTAAAAAATAGTCTTAGGAATTGGACAGAACGGAAAGTCACGATTGCCTGTAGATAAACGGTCCCTCTTACAAAATATGAAAAAAGGAAATGTGTGCAAAATTGACAAAATCTTGCACCGGCTAACTCAAATGTCATGTGATATACTTGTGGATACGTTAATTTGACAAGCATAATTTTTTTTAGTTCAAACTATCAAATTTTCCTGAAAATTTCAAAGACCTCTTTTCAAAATTCAAATATGAACATGAAAATTTTATCGAAATTTACACAGACTGTTTAAAGGATGGTTTACATAGTAGGTATAGCTGTCATTGAAAATTATTTTACATCTGGACTAAGGCTACCTGATAATGCATCTATATTTACTGTAGAAATGAAGGTCATTTATATAGCATTGTTTTACATTTTAAAGCATAATGGTAGTTAATTCTTCAGATTCACTGTCCCTTCCATTAAGTAACAAGAGCGATCAGTAATCACATGTGTCGCCTCATGATGGCCAATTTCATGTTGGGACAAATTTTGTGACAGACAGACAGACAGACGGACAGTGCACAACTAGACTTGGTAGTGATCATTCCTGTAAAGTTTGGATAAAATTGCACCAGTAGTTTATGAGGAGTAGTCCGGACAAGCTTTTGCGTATCTGGCAACACACAGAAAAAAAAACACTTTTTATCAAAGGGCCATAACTCGACCAAAAATCATTCGACCAGAAAACCCGTGCAATATGCACAAGGACTTGAGCTACAGATCAATCCTGTAAAGTTTCATTGAAATTGCATTAGTGGTATAAGAGAAGTAGTCGGGACATACTTTAAAAATAAAAATTATTAAAGGGCCATAACTCTGACAAAAATCATTGAACCGGAAATTGCTGAAAATATGCACAACTAGACTTGATACTGATCATTCCTGTAAAGTTTGGATGAAATTGCACCAGTAGTTTATGAGGAGTAGTCCGGACAAGCTTTTGTGTATGGCAACACACAGAAAAAAAACACCTTTTTATCAAAGGGCCATAACTTGACCAAAAATCATTCAACCAGAAAACCCGTGCAATATGCACAAGGACTTGAGCTACAGATCAATCCTGTAAAGTTTGATTGAAATTGCATTAGTGGTATAAGAGAAGTAGTCGGGACAAACTTTAAAAATTAAAATTATTAAAGGGCCATAACTCTGACAAAAATCATTGAACCGGAAAATGCTGACAATATGCACAACTAGACTTGATACTGATCATTCCTGTAAAGTTTGGATGAAATTGCACCAGTAGTTTATGAGGAGTAGTCCGGACAAGTTTTGTGACGGACGGACGGACAGACAGACAGACAGACGGACAGACAGACGACGGAGAAGTGATCCCTATATGTCGCCACTATTCCGTAGAGGCGACACAAAAATCGAAAGTAAGAAGAAACTCCCTTTTGCACTTTCATGATACATGTATTTTAAAAACTATATCAGTCAAATTATGTTGGATCCACATAAAAATACGAGGTAAAGAAAATGTCGATGCTTTGGTTAAGGAATTGTGAAATTTTCATTTTACAAATTTTTAATCCTAAGGGAAAAAAATATTTCTTTGGAATGGAAACCAAATTGGGACAAAGCTGTATTTACTTTCCCAAACTTCATGATGTCAACCATTGTATTGATAAATTAAAATGTCTAACTCTCCTTAACCGTCACGATCAAGCTGTTCTTCTTAGATGCAGAATTGGACATACGGAAGTACACATTCTAACCTTTAAACAGGAGGGGATGCTTCATTTTGCATAGCTTGCAATGAATTTTCTTCTTAAATGCCATGATCTTGAACATGCTCGTGATATACATTTTACCGAGTCAATTCGTAGAAGATGGAATTAACGAGCTTTTGCATTGGCGAATCCGGAACGGTATGGGACAAGTGGGTAGGTTGGGACTACCTCAC